TATTGTGTTAATAGCCTGGAGTGTGTTGTGTTAATAGCCTGGAGTGTGTTGTGTTAATAGCCCTGGAGTGTGTTGTGTTAATAGCCTGGAGTATATTGTGTTAATAGCCTGGAGTGTGTTGTGTTAATAGCCCTGGAGTGTGTTGTATTAATAGCCTGGAGTATGTTGTGTTAATAGCCTGGAGTGTGTTGTGTTAATAGCCTGGAGTGTGTTGTGAGACAGAATAACAACAACAAAATCCAGAAAAACGCATCGCAAAATGTTATAAATTGATTTGCATTTTAATGAGGGAAATAAGTATTTGACCCCTCTGCAAAACATGACTTAGTACTTTGTGGCAAAACCCTTGTTGGAAATCACAGAGGTCAGACGTTTCTTGTAGTTGGCCACCAGGTTTGCACACATCTCAGGAGGGATTTTGTCCCACTCCTCTTTGCAGATCTTCTCCAAGTCATTAAGGTTTCAAGGCTGACGTTTGGCAACTCGAACCTTCAGCTCCCTCCACAGATTTTCCATGGGATTAAGGTCTGGAGACTGGCTAGGCCACTCCAGGACCTTAATGTGCTTCTTCTTGAGCCACTCCTTTGTTGCCTTGGCCGTGTGTTTTGGGTCATTGTCATGCTGGAATACCCATCCACGACCCATTTTCAATGCCCTGGCTGAGGGAAGGAGGTTCTCACCCAAGATTTGACGGTACATGGCCCCGTCCATCGTCCCTTTGATGCGGTGAAGTTGTCCTGTCCCCTTAGCAGAAAAACACCCCCAAAGCATAATGTTTCCCCCTCCATGTTCGACGGTGGGGATGGTGTTCTTGGGGTCATAGGCAGCATTCCTCCTCCTCCAAACACGGCGAGTTGAGTTCATGCCAAAGAGCTCCATTTTGGTCTCATCTGACCACAACACTTTCACCCAGTTGTCCTCTGAATCATTCAGATGTTCACTGGCAAACTTCAGACGGGCATGTATATGTGCTTTCTTGAGCAGGGGGACCTTGCAGGCGCTGTAGGATTTCAGTCCTTCACGGCGTAGTGTGTTACCAATTGTTTTCTTGGTGACTATGGTCCCAGCTGCCTTGAGATCATTGACAAGATCCTCCCGTGTAGTTCTGGGCTGATTCCTCACCGTTCTCATGATCATTGCAACTCCACGAGGTGAGATCTTGCATGGAGCTCCAGGCCGAGGGAGATTGACAGTTCTTTTGTGTTTCTTCCATTTGCGAATAATCGCACCAACTGTTGTCACCTTCTCACCAAGCTGCTTGGCAATGGTCTTGTAGCCAATTCCAGCCTTGCGTAGGTCTACAATCTTGCCCCTGACATCCTTGGAGAGCTCTTTGGTCTTGGCCATGGTGGAAAGTTTGGAATCTGATTGATTGATTGCTTCTGTGGACAGGTGTCTTTTATACAGGTAACAAGCTGAGATTAGGAGCACTCCCTTTAAGAGTGTGCTCCTAAACTCAGCTTGTTTCCTGTATAAAAGGCACCTGCAGGGAGCCAGAAATCTTTCTGATTGAGAGGGGGTCAAATACTTATTTCCCTCATTAAAAGGCAAATCAATTTATAACATTTTTGACATGCGTTTTTCTGGATTTTGTTGTTATTCTGTCTCTCACTGTTCAAATAAACCTACCATTAAAATTATAGACTCATCATTTCTTTGCCAGTGGGCAAACGTACAAAATCAGCAGGGGATCAAATACTTTTTCCCTCACTGTACATCGCAGCTCAGTGGGGTTTTATCTGGTAAAAATGGAATGTTTAGTTTTAGTTGAGTATTTCTCGGGTCCTGCACTAATGGTTGATGATTTACTGAAGAAGGATGATGATGGTGGTGGTGGTGGTTTTGATGATGGGAGGGCGTGTGATGGAATTTGTCCCTTTAGGAGTTGGCGTGGCGATGTTTTGTGAAGTCACGGGGTTATTATTTTATTTGTCAATCTGAGGTGGCAGGAGGATCCAGTTGAAAGTCTGAACAGGTAATGCAATTTTTATGAGCACGCGGTTCGTGACGCAAATGCATCTGTGAAAAAAAGAGCTTCATAGCTCATCGGATTCCTCCATTCTAAATCAAGATGCTGCCGTGCTTCAATGGTAAGCCCACTGCTCTGTTTGTCTCTATGGGTCTCTATGTGAGTCTACGTGACTATGTGAGTATGCGTGTCTTTATGCATGAGTCTATGGGTCTCTGTGAGTCGATGGGTCTCTATGTGAGTCTATGGGTCTATGTGTGAGTTTATGGGTCTATGTGTGAGTCTATGGGTCTCTGTGTGAGTCTATGTGTCTATGTGAGTATGCGTGTCTTTATGCATGAGTCTATGGGTCTCTGTGAGTCGATGGGTCTCTATGTGAGTCTATGGGTCTATGTGTGAGTCTATGGGTCTATGTGTGAGTCTATGGGTCTCTATGTGAGTCTATGTGTCTATGTGAGTATGCGTGTCTTTATGCATGAGTCTATGGGTCTCTGTGAGTCGATGGGTCTCTATGTGAGTCTATGGGTCTCTGTGTGAGTCTATGGGTCTATGTGTGAGTCTATGGGTCTATGTGTGAGTCTATGAGTCTCTGTGTGAGCCTATGGGTCTCTGTGTGAGTCCTTGGGTCTCTGTGTGAGTCTATTGGTTTCTGTGTGAATCTATGGGTCTCTGTGTGAGTCTATGGGTCTATGTGTAAGTCTATGGGTCTATGTGTGAGTCTATGGGTCTCTGTGTGAGTCTATGGGTCTATGTGTAAGTCTATGGGTCTATGTGTGAGTCTATGGGTCTCTATATGAGTCTATGGGTCTCTGTGTGAGTCTATGGGTCTATGTGTGAGTCTATGGGTCTATGTGTGAGTCTATGGGTCTATGTGTGAGTCTATGGGTCTATGTGTGAGTCTATGGGTCTATGTGTGAGTCTATGAGTCTATGTGTGAGTCTGTGGGTCTTTATGTGAGTCTATGGGTCTATGTGTGAGTCTATGGGTCTATGTGTGAGTCTATGGGTCTATGTGTGAGTCTATGGGTCTATGTATGAGTTTATGGGTCTCTGTGTGAGTATATGGGTCTCTATGTGAGTCTATGGGTCTCTGTGTAAGTCTATGGGTCTATGTGTGAGTCTATGGGTCTCTGTGTGAGTCTATTGGTTTCTGTGTGAATCTATGGGTCTCTGTGTGAGTCTATGGGTCTATGTGTAAGTCTATGGGTCTATGTGTGAGTCTATGGGTCTCTGTGTGAGTCTATGGGTCTATGTGTAAGTCTATGGGTCTATGTGTGAGTCTATGGGTCTCTATGTGAGTCTATGGGTCTCTGTGTGAGTCTATGGGTCTATGTGTGAGTCTATGGGTCTATGTGTGAGTCTATGGGTCTATGTGTGAGTCTATGGGTCTATGTGTGAGTTTATGAGTCTATGTGTGAGTCTGTGGGTCTTTATGTGAGTCTATGGGTCTATGTGTGAGTCTATGGGTCTATGTGTGAGTCTATGGGTCTATGTGTGAGTCTATGGGTCTATGTATGAGTCTATGGGTCTCTGTGTGAGTATATGGGTCTCTATGTGAGTCTATGGGTCTCTGTGTAAGTCTATGGGTCTATGTGTGAGTCTATGGGTCTCTGTGTGAGTCTATGGGTCTCTGTGTGAGTCTATGGGTCAATGTGTGAGTCTATGGGTCTCTATGTGAGTCTATGGGTCTCTGTGTAAGTCTATGGGTCTCTATGTGAGTCTATGGGTCTCTGTGTGAGTCGATGGGTCTCTGTGTGAGTCTATGGGTCTATGTGTGAGTCTATGGGTCTATGTGTGAGTCTATGGGTCTATGTGTGAGTCTATGGGTCTCTGTGTGAGTCTATGGGTCTCTGTGTGAGTCTATGGGTCTATGTGTGAGTCTATGGATCTCTGTGTGAGTCTATGGGTCTCTATGTGAGCCTATGGGTCTCTGTGTGAGTCTATGAGTCTCTGTGTGAGTCTATGAGTCTCTGTGTGAGTCTATGAGACCCCGGGGTGTAATCGCTGTGGTTGGGGCTGGAACCTAGATGGCTCACCCAAGGCTCTCAGTGGTGGCAGATCCGCGTCTCTGACCTCCGAGTCATCAACAGCACGGGAAATGAGAAGTTGTGGGCCAAGTCACCGGAGTGGCCATGGCCTCGCCATCGCGCCGGCCGCTTTCCTGGTAAGCCATCTGGCTTCCATGAGAGATTCGTTCATGAGGCTATCCACATATACAACACAGAGACAATTTCAACCGAGAAGATGGATTCTATCTTAGCAATCATTGGAAAGATTTGATAAATCATTTCAGTTCTTGATTGATTGTTCACGCTTACAGTGGCTTTCAGACAGCATACATTATAAAAAATTTCGTCTCCCCCCTCCTCTTTAAAAAAAAATAGATGGACTAGTCCTGGGCAAACTGCCAATCGCTGCGCGTGACGCCAACGTTTTTTTTATAAATAAATAAATGTGCCGTTTTACAAATAAATTTATGCAAACCGACACACCTGATGATGACCGTTTGAGTTATGGTCGAAACGTCGTGAGAATTTTTTATTGTTTTATATATATTTTGTTATTTTGTTGTTTCTCTTCAACGTGACTTTACCGAAAAAACTAAGAATATAAGATCAAAATAGTTGAGTTGTGTTTGTAGATTTTTTTCAAGTTCTTTGTTTATCTTTCCAATACTTTTCACTCCTATCCTGAGTGGTGGGCGTGGTTCCTGAGAGGCAGGCGTGGCTCATGAGAGATGGGCGTGGCTGCTGAGTGGTGGGCGTGGCTCATGAGAGGTGGGCGTGGCTCATGAGAGGTGGGCATGGCTCATGAGTGGTGGGCGTGGCTCATGAGAGGTGGGCATGGCTCATGAGAAGTGAGCGTGGCTCCTGAGAGGCGAGCGTGGCTCCTGAGAGGTGGGCGTGACTCGTGGGCGTGGCTCATGGGCAGCAGGCGTGGCTCTTGCGCGGTGGGCGTGGCTCCGTGTGGGTGTGGATGGGGGCGGTAGCGGGGCGTGGTGACGTCAGGACCGGCGTGTCTATAAGAGGCAGCGGGGCGGGCCGTGGCCGTGTGTCAGCAGCGGCGCGGCTCTCACTGCTCACGGCTCCGCCTCTTCCTCTCCATCGCCATCATCAGTAGCAGCGGCGTCGTCATCCTCCTGCTCCTTCCTCGTCCTCGTCGTCGGTCACCTTCGGTGAGGGAGGGGTCGTGGTGGTGGTGGTGGTTTGGTGGCGGTGGTCTCTCGCGTGCACACACAGATAAAGGTCCCCCGTATAGCCTTGAACAGACCTGGGGCAAGTGCTGTTAGCGAGCATCTATGTGGGCTCTATACATACACACGGTGCACACACAGATAAAGGTCCCCCGTATAGCCTTAACAGACTTGGCAAGTGCTGTTAGCGAGCATCTAAATGGGCTCTATACATACACACGGTGCACACACAGATAAAGGTCCCCCGTATAGCCTTAACAGACTTGGCAAGTGCTGTTAGCGAGCATCTAAATGGGCTCTATACATACACACGGTGCACACACACAGATAAAGGTCCCCCGTATAACCTTGAACAGACCTAGGGGCAAGTGCTGTTAGCGAGCATCTATGTGGGCTCTATACATATACACACGATGCACACACACAGATAAAGGTCCCCCGTATAGCCTTGAACAGACTTGGGGCAAGTGCTGTTAGCGAGCATCTATATGGGCTCTATACATATACACACGGTGCACACACACAGATAAAGGTCCCCGGGTATAGCCTTGATCAGATTTGGGGCAAGTGCTGTTAGCGAAGAGCACCTGAGCCCGGCCTCCATGGCACGGGATGGGTGGCCAGCACCACGCCCGGCCGCCTTTGTCTCCCTTGTGGCGATGTTTACTGCAGCACTGGTTCTATGTGCGGGAATCGAACTCGGGTTACCGGGTTCGTAGCTCAGCGCGCTAACCGCTGCACCACCGCTCCCCCCCCATGTCAAACGCTCGCCTGCACACCAAAGACAAAGGTCCCCCAGCGTAGCCTGAACGGACTGTTGGGGCAAGTGCTGTCGGCGAGCACCACCTATGCACCCACACACACACACTGTACAACAACCGCCGTCACCACGGCGCGCGTGCCAGGCTAGGTGCACCGGGTCGGGCATATTCGGTCACGTTCGCAGTCGCTTGCGCAATACACAAAGACAAAGACCCCCCCCCCCCTCTCTCTCTCCGTGTAGCCCACAGAGGCTGTTGGGGCAAGTGCTCTTAGCGAGCCTCACCTGGAGGTCGCGTTGACGGCTGAGTCGACCTAGAGGAGAGAGGCGGCGGGGAGGGGTTCCCCAATGATTGTTGGCCGTGGGCGGGAGTCGAACTCGGGTGGCCGGGACCATTTGGCCCAGGATCGGTGGCGGTCTTCTGTGTACGGCGGTCTTGAGAGAGTTGGGTGGGGGTGGGGGGGGGGGAAATTCCACGTTCCTGTGGCGGGTACAAGAAATCCTTCGCGCGTTGCTCCAGTCAGTGAGCTCACGCTCCCACACCGACTGCTGCTGGCGTGACCACCACCATCGCCATCAACCATGCCCAGTCCACTGCTGGATGGTGGCCAGCTTAACGAGAGCAAATTGCCCCAGCTGACGTGCCAGCAACGTTGACGCAACGTTGGCGCTCGCCCCGCTGTGGAGGCGGTGATTTGGGTGCCATTAAACATTTACAGGCGTGAGATGGGTCGCGTAGTTTGTGTGTGTGCGTCTGTGTGTGTGTCTCTGTCTCTGTGTGTGTCTCTGTGTGTGTGTCTGTGTCTCTGTCTGTGTGTCTGTGTCTCTGTCTGTGTGTGTCTCTGTGTGTGTGTCTGTGTGTGTGTCTCTGTCTCTATGTGTGTGTCTGTGTGTGTGTGTCTCTGTGTGTGTGTGTCTCTGTCTCTGTGTGTGTGTCTGTGTGTGTCTCTGTCTCTGTGTGTGTAGCGGTTTGCGCTACACTGCGCTACGAACGCCGGTGACGATTATCTGAACTGGTGGGCCTCCCTTAGATCGGCTCGGCCTGAAATGAGTACCTGGTGCGGTGTGTTAAAACACCGCCACTAGGGAGACAAAGGCGGTCGGGCGTAGTGCTGGCCACCCACCCCTCGTGTGCCGTTCCAGCCTTCATAGGCGCTCGCTAACAGCACTTGCCCCTACAGTCTGTTAGGGCTACACTGGGGGAGTCTTTGTGTGTGTGTAAACAGTGACTGTGTGTGGAGTGTGTGTGGGTGTGTATAGGTGTGTGTGGGTGGGTGTATAGATGTGTGTGTGTATAGGTGTGTGTGTGTATAGGTGTGTGTGTGTGGGTGAGTGTGTATAGGTCTGTCTGTGTGTGGGTGTGTTGTATAGGTCTGTGTATGGGGGTGTTGTATAGGTCTGTCTGTGTGTGGGAGTGTATAGGTCTGTGTGTGTATGGGTGTGGTATATAGGTCTGTGTGTATGGGTGTGTTGTATAGGTCTGTCTGTGTATGGGTGTGTTGTATAGGTCTGTGTGTATGGGTGTGTTGTATAGGTCTGTGTGTATGGGTGTGTTGTATAGGTCTGTGTGTATGGGTGTGTTGTATAGGTCTGTCTGTGTATGGGTGTGTTGTATAGGTCTGTCTGTGTATGGGTGTGTTGTATAGGTCTGTCTGTGTATGGGTGTGTTGTATAGGTCTGTGTGTATGGGTGTGTTGTATAGGTCTGTGTGTATGGGTGTGTTGTATAGGGTCTGTGTGTATGGGTGTGTTGTATAGGGTCTGTCTGTATGGGTGTGTTGTATAGGGTCTGTCTGTATGGGTGTGTTGTATAGGATCTGTCTGTATGGGTGTGTTGTATAGGGTCTGTCTGTGTGTATGGGTGTGTTGCATAGGGTCTGTCTGTGTGTATGGGTGTGTTGTATAGGTCTGTCTGTGTGTATGGGTGTGTTGTATAGGTCTGTCTGTGTATGGGTGTGTTGTATAGGTCTGTCTGTGTATGGGTGTGTTGTATAGGGTCGGTCTGTGTGTATGGGTGTGTTGTATAGGGTCGGTCTGTGTGTATGGGTGTGTTGTATAGGGTCTGTCTGTGTGTGGGTGTGTTGTATCGGTCTGCCTGTGTATGGGTGTGTTGTATAGGTCTGTCTGTGTATGGTTGTGTTGTATAGGTCTGTCTGTGGGTGTGTACGTGTGTGTATGGGTCTGTCTGTGTGTGGGTGTGTTGTATAGGTGTGTGTGTGGGTGTGTTGTATAGGTCTGCGTGTGTATGGGTGTGTTGTATAGGTCTGCGTGTGTATGGGTGTGTTGTATAGGTCTGCCTGTGTATGGGTGTGTTGTATAGGTCTGCCTGTGTATGGGTGTGTTGTATAGGTCTGCCTGTGTATGGGTGTGTTGTATAGGTCTGCCTGTGTATGGGTGTGTTGTATAGGTCTGCCTGTGTATGGGTGTGTTGTATAGGTCTGCCTGTGTATGGGTGTGTTGTATAGGTCAGTCTGTGTGTGAGTGTGTTGTATAGGTCTGTGTGTGGGTGTGTTGTATAGATCTGTCTGTGTATGGGTGTGTTGTATAGGTCTGTCTGTGTGTGGGTGTGTTGTATAGGTCAGTCTGTGTATGGGTGTGTTGTATAGGTTTGGCTGTGTGTGGGAGTGTATAGGTCTGTCTGTGTGTGGGTGTGTTGTATAGGCCTGTCTGTGTATGGGTGTGTTGTATAGATCTGTGTGGGTGTTGACGTGTATATAGGGCAGTCTGTGTCTGTGTCCACGTGTGTGTGTGTGTGCGAGCGACACGAGTTCGATTCCCGCTCGAGGCCAACATTGATGACGGAACATCTGACCTGGTCCTGCCTCAAATGACACTTTGTGCGGTGTGTGGTAAAAACATCGCCACTAGGAAGACAAAGGCGGCCGGGCGTGGTGCTGGCCACCCACCCCCCGTGCACTGTCGGCCATCGTAGATGCTACTCGCTAACAGCGCTTGCCCCAACAGTCTGTTAAGGCTATACGGGGGATCTTTGTCTTCGTTGGTGTGTGTATAGGTATGTGTGTGTAGGTCATTGTGTGTGTTTAGGTGTGTGTTTAGGTCAGTGTGTCTATGTGTGTGTAGGTCGGTGTGTGTGTGTCTAGGTCGGGGTGTGTGTGTGTAGGTCAATGTGTCTATGTGTTTGTGTGTAGGTTGGTGTGTGTGTAGGTCAGGGAGACAAAATCGACTTCTTATTTACAGGACGCATCGCCCTCGGGGGCCGTGTGCCTCTCCAGCCTTAATAGTGGCTCGTAACCAACACTTGCCCCAACAGCCCGTGTAGGCTATACGGGGGATCTTTATATGTGTGTGTGTAGTTCCCGGCCTTCATAGGTGCTGCTGCTACTCGCTAACAGCACTTGCCTCTACAGCCTGTTAAAGGCTACACGGGGGACCTTAGTCTTGTGTGTGTGTGTAGCGTTATATATTCTTTGGGTAAAGCCACATAGAATAGTAAAAATAATAAATAATAAAAATGATAATATCACGACGTTTCGATCGAAACGCATTAGCAATCGTCATCACCTACCGAAATACCCAAAGAATATGAATTCCTGCAGTCACGAAAGCCTTAAGCCAAGATGTATCGTGATAATATACCCTGGCTACTGGGCATCTGGAGGTAGCCGCCCTCCAGCAACAGCGGAGGAGCGACGCTCACAACAACGAGCGGAGCACCGGGCGGATAAAATAAAGCAATTTGGCACGGTGGCTTGCGCAGCTGTTGGCGCATCTGCCGGTCATCTCAGTCGGTCATCTCAGTCGGTCATCCCCACGGCACCACCTGGGTCTGCAGCCCCGTGACTCCGCGCCAGCAGCGAGCCTTCACGCTCTGGCCTCAACGTGCACCTAGCCTGGCACAAGCGCTGTGGTGACCGCCACTTCGTGGCGAATGGCGGCTGTTGTGTGTGGGTGTCTACGTGTATGTAAGTGCGTTTGGTCAAGGTGGGAGGAGCGGTGGCGCAGCGGTTAGCGTGCTGCGCTACAAATCCGGCGACCCCCAAGGTTCGATTCCCGCTCACGGCCCAACGCCAGTGACCATTGTCTGAACCGATCCTGTGCCTGCTCCCCTAGGTCGACTCGGCCTCAAATGAGCACCTGGTGTGGTGTGTAGTAAACATCGCCACTGGGGAGACAAAGGCGGTTGCGAGTGGTGCTTGCCACCCACCCCGTCGTATACCGTGCCAGCCTTTTAATAGGAGCTCGCTAACAGCACTTGCCCCAAC